CGATCCCTTCGCCTGCGCCGGGGGTTTCCTGGCCTCGTCTCCCTCCATTTACGCAGAAGGTCTTCTGCCTCACCGGCTGCTGCATGGGGACAGGCCTTAACGCGATAAGCCTCGCTGCCACACTTCAAGCAGGTTCGCTTGTGAGGAGCCGGCTTGTTCTCTTCGGTGCGTGTAGACTTTCCGGCGGGCTTCCCCGGCTTCCATCCGCTCGACTTCGCCACCGAGACAGCGGACTGGCTAGCGGGTTCCCACCCTAGATATTCCTTACAGCTGGCACGAAGCCACTTGATAAAGGCGACGACATCCTTCAGCAGGGGCTTGTTCGACTCGCGCGCCAGCTCGTTCTTCACGGTCTTCTTGAACTGCCCTGGGGCTAGGGCATCCATCAGGTAATGGACGATCTTCTTCGGCTCGCTCTCGACCATCCACTTCATGTTCTCGGTCTCGAGCACTTGGTACATTGCGTGTGCGAGCTTCGAGACACGTGAGTCGGCATCGGTAAGACTCACATCCATCACCAGCTTGCGGCTCATGAGCGTCTTGACCTTGTCGAAGTTTAGGTCGCCCGTGATCCTTCCTTCCCAGAAGCAGTCGATCCAATCGGCTTCTGTTATCGCGTCGATTGGTTTACAGATGTCGAACATAGCGATCAGACGACGGCGCTCGTCCTCGACACACGCACGAACTGGCATTCGGAAAGGACTGTTGAGGTTAGGGCCCGTCACAGGGACCGCCTCTCCATCGTGCTCTCTATAAACTAATAATGAAGAGACACGGTATTTTTGACTCTAATAAATAATGTACTAAAATGTCTGGAACATTTTAGTACTATGAATGGTAGCGGCAATTCTAGACTATGTTTCTGAATGCCGCATACTAATTTCTTGTTAGTAGCCCGCTACTTTCTTAAACATTAATCTTACTTCTTCTTTTACCGAGTCCACCACATGCTCTTCTTCTTTTACCAAGTCCACCACAAGCGTCTTCTCCTTCTACACTCAAGACTTCCTCTTCACTATGGCCGCCTAATCCTCTCTACCTTTGTCCTCATTCAGTTCTGTACTGCCCTAACAACTCTGCGCAAATCATTCCTTCAACAGGTTATCAGCCCAACGCTTCGCCAGGGTACTGACGAGCTGAAAGCGGTAAGACGATGCGCCTCCAAGCCCCAAGGCTCATGAAGGAGATCGGAGAGAAAATCGCCCGACGGACACCAACTCGCGTGAGGCCACGTTGCCAACTTGGCTCCAGCCACTGTGCTGTAGCACAGCATGCGTAGTTATTCGCCATGCTGGGAGGTCATGAAACCCCCGCGCCAGCCATGGAGCTGTAGCGCCGCACGAGACACATACATTCCGTGCCACACCGGCCATTGCCGAGTTGTGAGGCCATGATGCCAGACCAGCCATAGCGCTGTCTGGTTGAAAAGCCGTACTAGAAGGCCACAGTGCCTTGTGCTCTACGTACATGTACGCGTACACGTACACATACACGTACACGTACACGTACACATACACGTACATGCATTTGATGATGTACAAGTACATGTAGTACATATTTAAGGCGAAGAACTAAATACCGCCCTCACGCACCAGCAGCATTGCTGTAGTGTCACGCCATACTGGGAGGCCAAATGCCCCACTTGCGAGCTATAAAGCTGTGCAAAAATTATTCCAGCTACAAGCTGTGTATTTACTACTAGTATATGTGTACTTAATGAAATACCATTTTAAATATGTGCATCTCGAGCTACAAGGAGGAATGGCACAGCTAAAACCTCGCTTAATGCAAAGCTGCAGCAGTCTACTAAATGCAGATCTACGGCTTGTTGAGAACAGGTAATCCACTACATTTTGGACCTGTAAAATAAAAATATACCTTAAAAAAAACAAGAAAGAGATAAAATAAAAATGGGCAATTGTCCATACAAACATGTGTCTGGTATTTAACCAAGTTAAGAAATACGCCCAGAAATGTATGAAACTGGGAGGCAACAACGCCAAAACAATTCATTCAATTCGCCAAACTTAAAAAAAAAATTATTGCGGCAAAAGTTTCAAACATTTCCAGCATAAAGAAAAAATCTTCAATACTTTATGACTTTAAGACAAGCCTACACAAGCCTCTGTCTACAGAAAGCAACTATAGTTTTACTGCATTAGTTTCATTTTCAATGGAATCGATAGTTTACAAACCTATTGCTTGCACTTGCGAAGTATAAACAAAATAAAAATCTTCGAAATGAGAAACAACTCCATGAGCCTCTAGGGAGAAAAATAGCCCCAACGATGAGAGCCTGCAAACAAGATGCGTACACTACCGATGACACTGTTAGATGTTTTTATGCTTTGAAAGCTGTAGCCTTTCTTCAAAAATATTTGAAAACTATAAGCTCTCAATAATAATAGTCAGAACAAATTGAAAATGACTGCAGCACCTATATCAACCATTTCATGAAATTGGGAGGCAATTCTATAAGACCTCAGCAGCGGAAAAACAAAAAACAAACCACACATATGAAAGAGCAAAACAATGGCAGTTTAAGAAATGAACAAAGCTAAAACGCATACACAAAATATATAAAGATAAATACGGTGATCAGGTGTACCCTCGAAGGTTTCCTGAGTAGCCAACAACAGAGCGAACAGGTTTTGATCCTTAAAATTAAAGGTTTTCCTGAGGTAGCTTCTACAAATTCGTAAAGCTAAAACGATAACAGCAACAATTCAGCGAACAGGTTTTGATCCTTAAAATTAAAGGTTTCCCTGAAGTAGCTGCTACAAATTCGTATAACTAAAACGATAGCAACAACAATCACTACGGTGAACAGGTTTAATCCTCTAAGGTTTTCCTGAGTAGCCAAAATAACAATGAAAACAAGAAATCAGCACAGTTATTGCCAAAGCAAAACAGCACAAGGCGACAAATCTGACAATGAAAGTCAAAGGAAAAAGATCATCAATATCAAAACAAGATCTACTTCTTGTAAATGCTCATGTACGTACAGGACTGTTATAACAGCCACCTGTGTAACTATCCGACAGATAAGAGCATCATACACATTCCTCGATGTGGGGAGGGTGTCGAAGTAAGCATCTCCCGATGTGATGATGACTATCTAGTGAAATATAACTGTACTATTTCATATAGAGAAATTGTAATCGAAGGTAACTGCTTTGGGGCAGCCATTGTAATGAGATGCACGGCGATAGTAGGGTCCATCCGGGCCACCTGCGCCGACCGAGACATGATCCTCAAAGCTGGCGTTAAATAACTGAGCCTCGAGCCAATCTGCCTGGTCTCCACAAGTATCCTGAATGACGCCGACTGAGCGAGAATGAAGCGTTGCAATACCCAAAGCTGGCTGTTGAAGCACCGAAATTTGTTGGTGTCGTGGCCTTGACGTGCGTGTCCTTGACGTGCGTGTGGCTGGTGCGGTGACAGTAGAGTGTAAATTGTGATGTGAGACTACGAGATCAGCTCGATGAGCCCCCGAGCTGCTGATTGATCCTATACCGCGCGCCGGACCATAGAATAAGACCTTATGCCGTCCCAGCATCATCTGCGTTTGTCGTCTCTACTAAATTCAAGGCTGTCCGTCATGTGGGCCGATTCTGATGGCATTGAGCTTCTCTAAGTTAACATACACGACCGATAAGATGGCCACTTGTTGTAACTGCTATTAACTTCAATACAAGTGTACTCTCAAAACCTATCACTGTCAAAACTAATTCGTTTTGAACTTTCGAGTCATTTTTCAGTATGCCACCTGGTGCACAAGTGGCCAAATGGCGATTTGGACTCCACCTCCCCAGAAAACTGCCCTGGCGAGTAGAGTCCAAATCCGGTCTCCGTTTGGCTGTAGGGCCTCTAGGAGCTTCAGAAACGCATAAAACACGAATTCGTGTAGCCATTTTGTAAATTGACTGAACATTTTTAACAGGGTTTTCGTAGACCAATCAAAACACGTGTATTATATTATCCAATGACGTTCCCTGATGTCGATCCAGGGAGGCTGTTGAGGTTAGGGCCCGTCACAGGGACCGTCTCTCCATCGTGCTCTCTATAAACTAATAATGAAGAGACACGGTATTTTTGACTCTAATAAATAATGTACTAAAATGTCTGGAACATTTTAGTACTATGAATGGTAGCGGCAATTCTAGACTATGTTTCTGAATGCCGCATACTAATTTCTTGTTAGTAGCCCGCTACTTTCTTAAACATTAATCTTACTTCTTCTTTTACCGAGTCCACCACATGCTCTTCTTCTTTTACCAAGTCCACCACAAGCGTCTTCTCCTTCTACACTCAAGACTTCCTCTTCACTATGGCCGCCTAATCCTCTCTACCTTTGTCCTCATTCAGTTCTGTACTGCCCTAACAACTCTGCGCAAATCATTCCTTCAACAGCTCAGTAGCCCTACATGTCCAATAACATACTAATTGATAGCGTTTTTATTTGAAAAAAAACACCAAAAGTGGGTTGTGATCATGAGAGAGCGAAGGCTGCAAACAGTTTACTAAACTCGGCTCGACCATGACATCCACATTGTGTTGGTCCAGGAGTGTTACCGCAAGATTCCGGTGGCATGAAAGTTTGGGAATGATGCTGTAGATTTCGCCGTGGCCGTAAGATCGCGGGGTTCGTGTTGCGTCGTAGCCTGACCTCATCGATCGCCAATGTGGCACAACGCCATGTGGCTGCTTTTCTCACGTTGCTCTCCTTTCGTGTGTTTGCAAAACCCTTGATTAAGAATGAAATTGGATTCTTAGCTTCAAATCTGTCGTGTGGCGCCAGGTGGCCTGTCTTCGCATCTCATTTTTGCAGCAAATGGGATAGGCAAGTCACGTAAATTGCTGAAATTCAACATCTGGCCCACGTAGTGCACAGAAAAATAGTCTCCAGACGCTCTGAACCTTCAGCGTCTGAAGTCTTTCCCGTCTTGAAGACCTGGTGGTCTGTTGATTTATGCCATAGTCATTCTCCAATTTGCAAGCAGGTGCTAACCGGCAATTGCAAATATGCTCAGCGCGAAAGTCCTGATCTTCACCGTCGGTGTCCTCGCCGCTGTCGCGGAGGCGGCTGGTACCTGTCCGTCTATCGAAAACAACGTCGACTACAGTGGCGCCGATGTCGGCAGCGCTCGTAGCTCGTCAGCGAATGGATGTTGCTCCATTTGCTCCAGCACGAATGGCTGCGGTGCGTTCACTTGGACCAACTACAACGGCGGTACGTGCTGGTTGAAGCAGTCCAAGGGCACTGGAAAGGCCAGTAGCGGTTCCATCTCGGCCGTTCTCCAGACGTCGTCCTCGTCTGGAACCTGCCCTCCTCTGGAAAACAACGTCGACTACAGCGGTGCTGACGTCGGCAGTGTCCCCAGCTCGTCGGCTAACGGATGCTGCTCGATCTGCTCCAAGACGAACGGCTGCGGTGCGTTCACCTGGACGAACTACAACGGCGGTACGTGTTGGCTGAAGCAGTCCAAGGGCACCGGAAAGGCCAGCAGTGGCTCCATCTCCGGTGTGGTGCAGTCGTCGTCCTCCTCATCGGCCACTTGTCCGTCTCTGGAGAACAACGTCGACTACAGCGGCGCTGACGTCGGCAGTGCTCGCAGCGCCAACGCTAACGGGTGCTGCAACATCTGCTCCAACAACAACGCCTGTGGTGCGTTCACCTGGACCAACTACAACGGCGGCACTTGCTGGCTCAAGAGCTCCAAGGGCAGCGCCAAGTCGAGCCCCGGTTCCGTGTCGAGCAGCGTACAGAAGTCCACTCAGCCGTCGACTCCGACGTCGCCTTCGTCTGTCGACCCGGCCAACGCTCAGTACTCGCTGTCTGCCTTCGCTATTGGTGACTGGGGTGCTACGACGTACAAGGGCTCGTGCTGCTCTCGCTCCAACACGTTCAACAACTACGATATCAACGCTGAAGATGTTGTCGCGAGCTTGATGAACACACAGGCCGGTAACTTCCCGGTGAAGCCGAAGCTGATCATCGGACACGGTGACAACTTCTACTGGACGGGTATCAACAGTCTGGAGGGCCGCGACTCGCGCTTCGCCACGACGTTCGAGGGAAAATTTAACGGCAACAACATCAAGACGATCCCATGGGTGAACGTGTTGGGTAACCACGACTACGGTGGTGCCAGCTACGTGTGCAACCAAGGAGACAACAACGCCCGATGCGCCAACACGGCTGCACTACTGCAGGGTCTGGACAACAAGTTCAAGTGGCAATCGGAGTACACGAGTCCGAACGACAACCGCTGGAACCTGGACGACCACTTCTACGTGCGTCGTATCGAGGACCCTGCTACGGGTGTGAGCATCGACGTCTTCAATGTGGACACGAACGACGCCGACATCCACGGCGCCATGCAGATCTGTTGCCAGTGCTACGGCTACTCGAACAGTGACAGTGCTACGTGTCGTAACGTGGGCCGTGGCCACCAGTACTGCTGTGGCGGAGACAACTCCATGTTCGACGCGTGTATGGGCAAGTTTAACCAGTGGGGAGACGACTCGCGTGCGCAGATCGCGCAAAAGGTCAAGCAGTCGACAGCCACGTGGAAGATCGTCAACAGCCACTACAGTCCGTACAACCACTACGCCGAACACAACATGAAGAAGTGGTTCGACGCACTGCGTAACTCTGGCGTGCACATCTGGCTGAACGGTCACACTCACGGTGAGAAACACGACTACTCTTCGTCGCTGGGCATTCACTTCATTGAAAACGGCGCTGGCGGTGGTATCCAGAAGGAGTCGGCAAGCGGCATCCCGTCGTATGCCGCCCCGTTCGTGCAGAACAAGTGGACGTACGGCAGCAACGAGTACGGCTTCATGTCGCTTCAGGCCTCTAAGGCTTGGGTGAAGCTGCAGTACCACACGGCGGACAGGTCGTGGCAGTTCGGAGAGAACTTCCAGAGCACCAAGATCGGTGGCGTCGAGACCAAACACTGCTGGTACATCCCGTCGGACGGCGGAGAAGGCCGTAGATGCTAAGTCTTCAGCTGCTTGCTGGTTTAGATGTATGGATTACTTGGCGGGTTGGACACATAACTACCGCTAGACATCGAGTAGCTTTTTTTTTTTGCCTCATCGTGTCCGAGGATGCGTTGCTCTTGTTGACAGTTTGCCACACTCAACGAGACATTTCGCCAGTTCGTTCGAAAGAATCAAAAGTTTGAATTGAGAATCTGAATCGGATACTTTAACACACCACCAGAATCTTTTGTTTAATTTGGCTGCCAACAATGGCATGGTCACGACTCCACAGTTGCGATAAATTTGTTCGTAAAAATTCATGCCATCGTGAAGGTTACAATGCACTGAAAACAAGGGTGCCTCTGCCTCTTTGTGGCAGAGTGCTTAGTTTCAATGGGTTGTACCCGCGAAAGCTTCAATGTAAGGTATTACTACAAACCAGGGTGCCTGCCTCTTTGTGGCAGAGTGCTTAGTTTCAATGGGTTGTACCCGCGAAAGCTTCAATGTAAGGTATTATTCACAGCGACACCTTGTTGCTAGTATGAGTAGATACTTTTTTTGAGTTAACAAAAGATTCTGTGCGGGTTTCGCAGTGCGTTTGCGGCAAACTTTGTCATCTTCTGGGGGAAAGCCTAACTCCACAAACAAACACCACAAAGCTGCAATCAGCCAGATGGGGATACAGTCGTGCACCTCCGAATCGACAGGGCGGACCATATCAACAGTGCCAGGGCATAAGTGCACAACGTAAAGCAAAAAACAAACGCAAATCCAGTGCACTGATATTTTATTTGTTAATTCAGTACACAATTTACGCCAATCTTTTGCAAAACCTTGGCGTCAGACGCGCGAATCGCGGGCGCGCAACACTTCCGGTCGCGATAGGCGTCCGGCAAGGCGGCAACTTCCGCGGACCGCTTAAGAATACTCTGGACGGTAGTGCGCTTTACTGCTCGGTGGGTCTTAAAGCGCTCCGTTGCCCAACGAGCAAGTTCGGAGTGACAGGATCTGACTTGTGCTTCTCGCACAAAGACTGCTTTTGTGGGACATGTAGGAGGAAGGGCGGTCCCATTGTCTTTGGCGGTAAAAATCAAAGTGTGTGTTTGTATGACGACGTCCGATCCAAAATTTAAAATCGGACCGATGCGGCGTGTCGAGAAGGGAAAAACCGTTGAGGTTAATTGCTAGGGTGGTGATGGGCAAAGGTAATTGCGCATCCTATTCGCGTAATCATTAAATCTGGCAGGGTATCGACTGATACCGGTGTCGAATTGGAGGTGCACGACTGTAGTGATCCACGTTGAGCACCAAAGCCTCCTCAGATATCCTCTTGGTGGTGCACTACATTCTCGACCAGTGCTCTCATTCTCCAATTTACTTTGAACGCCTTACAAGGACGTACAATCATGCTGACCCTCAACCTCTTAGCCATCTATGTGGGAGTGCTCGCTGTTGTAGCAGACGCCCAGGTTTCGTCGGACCCGGCTTCCGCTGCGTACTCGCTGTCTGCTTTCGCTATTGGAGACTGGGGAACAACTCCCTTCAAGGGCTCTTGCTGCTCCCGTTCGGACACGTACAGCAACTACGACGTTCATGCCGAGGATATCGTGGCCAGCTTGATGAACACGGAGGCCGGCAACGCTGCGGTGAAGCCGAAGCTGATCATCGGACACGGTGACAACTTCTACTGGACGGGAATCAACAGTCTGGAGGGTCGTGACTCGCGCTTCGCCACGACGTTCGAGGAGAAGTTCAATGGCAACAACATCAAGACGATCCCATGGGTGAACGTGTTGGGTAACCACGACTACGGTGGAGCCAGTTACGTGTGCAACCAAGGAGACAACAACGCTAAGTGCGAGACTACAGACGCGCTTCTACAGGGTCTGGACAACAAGTTCAAGTGGCAATCGGAGTACACGAGTCCGAACGACAACCGCTGGAACCTGGACGACCACTTCTACGTGCACCGTATCGAGGATGCCGCCTCGGGCTTAAGCATCGACGTCTTCAATGTGGACACGAACGACGCCGACATCCACGGCGCCATGCAGATCTGTTGCCAGTGCTACGGCTACTCGAACGGTGACAGTGCTACGTGTCGTAACGCAGGACGCGGCCACCAGTTCTGTTGCGGTGGTGATACCGCAATGTTTGACGCGTGTATGGGCAAGTTCAACCAGTGGGGAGACGATTCTCGCGCTCAGATCGCTGAGAAGGTGAAGCAGTCGACGGCCACGTGGAAGATTGTCAACAGCCACTACAGCCCGTTCAACCACTACACGGAGCAGAATATGAACAAGTGGTTCGACGCACTGCGTGGTTCGGGTGTCCACGTGTGGCTGAACGGCCACACTCACGGTGAGAAACACGACTATTCGCCGTCTTTGGGCATTCACTTCGTTGAAAACGGTGCTGGCGGTGGTATCCAGAAGGAACCGGCCAGTGGCATTCCGGCGTACGCGGCCCCGTTCGTGCAGAACAAGTGGACGTACGGAAGCGACGAGTACGGCTTCATGTCGCTTCAAGCGTCCAAGGACTGGATTAAGCTGCAGTACCACACGGCCGACAAGACGTGGCAATTCGGGGAGACTTTTAACAGCACGACGGTCGGCGGAGTGGCGACCAAGCACTGCTGGTACATTCCGTCCGACGGCAAGGAAGGCAGAGGATGCTAACGGCGCTGCCTTTGCTTCGTCTATTTTTTTTGACGCTGTTACAAGATGTAGATTAACCCCTCCCGTGAACCACTAATTTTACGTCATAACTTACGACGTAGCTTTTACCAGCGCGTTTGTATGGTGCTGTATCTTCCACTTGCCTATCCAAAACGATGGGAGGTATACGTTCTCAAAGGTTTTGACACCTTACGTCGTATATCATACGACGTACGGATGACCCAAACGACACGGACACCGACACTTACGACTTTGTAAGAGTGAACATAAAAATTAAAACGGGAAGACGCAAGCGAATGCACACATAGAGCAGGGCTTTTCGATGACTGACATGCTAAAAGAGGAACAGACACAGAGCATATGGTAAAGGACGTCACATTTATAAAGCAATGTCGTCAGGGGGGAAAACTAAGGAGGGCCCTCCAGCCTCGCATAAAAATAAACAAAAACAGAATACAAATATTCTTTTCAATAGATTTGCCGTTGCCGACGAAAACAACTTTTATTTTAATTACGGCAAATCCATTTTATAGCAGTTACCGACAGAAATCAAGAAAAAGCAACAACTATTTATAAGCAAACAACAGTATCCTTAGTTGTCTTCATCGTCTGGCGCTCCTTCGCATTCACGGTTCGGCCTCCTCGGAGAATCTCACGACGAGTCTTCTTGCGGACGCAGACGGTTTTGGGAGCGCGGCGCAGCACGACTCGCTTGCCAAGGTGTGCTGGGATCCTGTCACCGCACGCGAAGGCCTCGTGCCACACTTGGAAGCAAGTCTTGTCGCCACCTCTGCGCGCCTTGTCATACAGGTAGAACTTGGCGTCGCCGGTGAACAGTCCGGGCAGTAGTAGGTCGTCTGGAAGGACTTTTTGAGCTCGCCTCGATACAGCGAGCACACCTTGCACGACCGCTGACGTCCTCGTCTGGATCAGGACGGACAGGCTCCACGTCGTCGTCGTCAGAAAACTGGCCGTAGTCGGAGCCTGAACTCAGACTCTCGTACTCCTCTCTAAGATCTCCAGCCTTCATCAAGCTTACATCAGCTGGATCGCGTGATTCAACTGGTCCTCCAGCGTCGTCACCCTCGCTGGCGTCTCTCAGCTCCTCCACCGTGTCGTCCTCAGAGTCTAGGTCGGGCTCCGTCTCCGAGAGCAGCCGCTGGAAAGCAGCGATCACGACACTCTGGTCTGAGTCATGCACCGCGTCAGCACGTAGCGGGGATAGCCCGAAAGCTCTCCCAACCGCGTTCTGCGACGACGCAGGTGTGCCATCGTCCTCGCTGTCACTTCCGAACAGCGCGTCGACTGTGTTGACCGAGAGGGCCACATTGCAATCAATCTGCGACGCTCGCACCATATCTCCATCACCGCTGTCGCCCCCACCGCTCTCCGCTTCACCACCCCCACCGCTCACAGCTTCACCGCCGTTAATCGCCCCCAGCTTCACCGCCGCCACCGCTCTCAGCTTCACCACCCCCACCGGTCTTGCCCTCACTGCCATCTCTACTCTCCTCGCCACTGCTGTTGTCCTCTTCATCCTGAATCAGTCCGGTTGCGATCGCGTGCTCCACCACCACTCTCTGACCTACCACAAACCAAGTTAGAAATGACGCATAGTAATACTGCAACAGCACAACACACAGTAGAACACAATCTCGCCTTCTGCAGGAACCTCGCTTGACGGCCTGACGTACGCCCAATCAATTGACAGTCCGGTGGGAGGCTTCGACCGCCACCCCGCGGCCTTGCGCTGGCGCCACAGGTGGCCAAAGTCTACCAGGCGCGGACCCAGGGCGGGCGCTGACACCGACGCTTGAGCCTCAGCCTTGGTCTTTGCGCTCACAGAGACCGGCATTTTGCTTACGTCTCAGCCGGCAAAATCTCGAATGGCTGAGAGTGCTCAAAGACTTCTGGCCACTCATCAAATGATGACAGTTGGAAAGGTGTACTTGAACCCTTTCCCTCGTACTGGCTTTGTGTGAGCAGCAAAAACCTCTCCAGCCTTATATCCGATCGGCCTTAAATTTGATTTGATTTCAGTATCAGGTCGCCGTTTCCGAGCCAGCTCCTATATGAAGAAAACACTATGTCGTAAGTTACGACGTACAATTTGGACTATGTCATAACTTATGACGTTGGTAACAGGGGGGTTAAGGACTCTGGCAGGTTTAGAATGATTAACCGCCAGTAACTTTTCACTTGTTTGGAAGTTCCAACCGTTCTTACAATCGAGACATCGTAACCTGAAGTGGTAGCACTGAAGTAGCGGCGTGTGATTGTTCAATAAAATGAAGTTGAAGGCAAAATTTAATTTCTCCATTAGTTCATTCTGCAGAGGCGACGTTGTCCCCGGGGTGACTCGGTGGTGTAGACCGTCGCTTAGGAAAGGAGAGCAAGAGCATCGCACGACGCTGCCGTCCAAGTCAACGGAGATAAACCACAAACACCCGGCAGGGCGGCGGGAAGGCTGCCATTTTTAGCACTGAAAATGACGGTCCTAATTACAGGAGCGAAGATACGACTTTTTAGCAATATTTGCCTCGCATAAGTGAGAAGGACAGAAATGATGGAAATATACTTTTTTGTAGCTATCGATGTTGCCTCTTTGCTTACGGTTGATGGCGATGTTATTCTCAAGTGTCGTGGGATGGTGCTAATTTCGCATTGTAAAGTGTTGCAAGTTAGTATAAAGAGGCTACTATTGTGAATCAAAGGAATGGCGTTAGTGCACCCTTAGCTACAACAACACGACAGGCTTGGAGCACCTTTAAGTCACTTGGGCGCCCTTAACTGCAAGCGTTAAGGCGCCCTAAAGCCTTGGGCGCCCTTATCGTTAATATTAAATAACTGTATTTTAAAAATTGAGGCGAAGTATCACCATAAGCATTATTGTCAATCTTGTCGGAGATAAAGAAACATATTAACACATTGCGTTAAGAAGAAGAAGACGAAAAGCACAAGTAGGAAAGGGAAAGTGATATAATATATATTGTTTAACAAAACCACGAATGGCTACAAGATTACTGTGGAAGCAGCATCTTACTAACCTATTGGTCCGTCTTCTGCATTTCCGTCAAATTCTTCTCAGCTGTGTGTCACCAGCTTCGTCGTGCACAGCAACAACCAGGCTAGTCTAAGCCGCATCACGCTTACATAAGCTTCTGTCAACCGACGGCTTTTAAATCGATGGGTGTTGCGCGAGTGTGCGTACACAATGCCCAGGACCATTACTCCACAGCTTTTTAAATCAGGTTGTGAGGGCTTGGCGATTAACTTCGCAATAATTTCTTTAGGAAAAAGCTTATTTGCACCGCAGGCACTGTGCCATTTCTCCAGGTATGGCAGCAATAAAATTTCCATGCATCCTTCAGTTCTTTTTGTTAGCACTCCTGGTGTAGCGGCTTATAGAAATACACCTTCAGTGTTGTCGAAAACGCGATCTCCACAAAAATGGCCCCCCAGCGGTTCGAGCTTAAATTAATGGGCATATTTACATTAAGGTGTCTCTGATAATCACTATCTTGGTGGTTCGGGCCACCCAGTAGCCAATGTCAACGAAGAAAATACGATGCAGCCATCCACACGTTCTGCAATCATTCTGATTCCGAAATCAATCATGGCGTCGTTCAGCAATCCAAAGAGATGTCATTAATAGAAATGGCTTTCAAAACAGTTTTGATGATTTGAGAGTAGAAACTACCCAAATCGCAATCAATTCTCCCACCAACATCGACTTATGGATCCGAGCACCAACGCATTACTGGTAGGACTTCTTAATTTAAGCTGAGGTGTATCGTGTTACTTGCCTATTGGCATGATCTCTAATCACATTCCTGGTCGACCTATAGCTAACCACGCCATGCCCATGGACCAATTTATTAGTGTAATGGCATGGCACGCGTGGAAGTGGTAACCACCCGTATGATTTCTTGGTGCTGTGGAGTTTTACCGACTTTTAAGCCAATCAATAAATCAGAATCGCTGTAACTAATTTGTGCTACTTTTTCTTGTCAAAACGCGTTGTCGGCTACTGCTATTTGATTGGCTTGCTAATTGCGCTTGTCAAAAAATATTTCGAGAAATCATAGCTGATTCTGGTAACGCTGGTATGTACTTTCCGGTAGTGATGTTACGGGAGTAGTTTGATACTTTTAAAAACGTACACAACGCAGCACTTCAATAATATTGTCTAAATACTCCAGAGGATCGCAGATCCTGTACGAAAACATACTTTGGCACTACCGTAGTAACGTTAAACTAACAGTTTTCTGTAACTGTACGTTAAGCGATCGCAATACGTGATGAAATGCGAAACCTTATCTCAGAATGAGTGAATGCTGACATTCAAACAACTTTATGTGTAGCCAAGTTTCACAAGTGACGAAAACACTGCACAAAGTCTTAAGATCCTACTGTCGGCATCGCTGCCACTACGCTGGTAAATCAAACTTGGAGGGGAAGGGATCGCGCAAGAGCAGGAGCTAGAGTTAACAGGTCGACAGTGACGAATGTCACTGCGGTAGCCCACCGAGGTGAGCTACAACAGGGACCGACTAAGGGAGAGAACATTTGGGTAGGCAGCTGGCAACCTCGGGCAGGTCTTTGAGCCCGTCCTCGTGCCTCACGAAAACCGAACATGTAAGATACAAGTGAGCTCGAACCCTTCCTGCGCGGAGGTCAAGCTCACACCCGCTCCAGGTCTTGTGCTCCACGGCCAAGAGGTCAATGAACAGTCCCCTCAGCCCACGTGGTTGTTAGCCACGTTCCCAGCCACCCTATGCCTCGCCAGCGCATCATGACTCACCTCACTTAGCTACTAATACACTGCCTTCAATTTGCCGTACACGCTCCCCGCTGGCTTCTCGACGCCGGCGAACCTCACTAACGCTCTACGGAAGAGCGCTAGGAAACCTCGTGTATTGTTGGGTAAGACCGGTCCTCGCCGCAGCACCTTTACGCGGTAAATTATATATAGCTGCTTAACCTGAACACTTCCCGTCCAGATGGCAACTGAGAGGTGGGTGCGCCAGACCGCTCACCCATTGCTCTCCTACCTAAGTTCCCGCCGCCTATACTACCGCCTATATTTACAGCTTGGACCTTGTCGAGAGCCACCCTCTCAAACTTCTCCCTTCGCCTCCTCACCTGCTCGTTCTGAATCCAATGTCGCCCCGCCTGGCGATCATACTCTCTGCTCGTTCTCTTCTGTGTCTGCTCTCTTCGCGATCTTCCGGCACGCCAGCCTCCCTTCCAGCTTCAACGTGTCTTCATCATCTCTGGTGGATGCTAAAGCTGTTTCCCTCAATTTTGTAAAATGAAAACTCTGCTCGGACTAACTTTTGTGACTAAATAGTGATTCCACGACAAAGACGAATGCTGACGCCTGAGCTGGCAAGCCTCACGCGATGTGAGCCGTACCAGGTCATTAGCTTCTTGCGGGATCTAGGGTGACTTGACAAATCCACCCGAACGTGATTGAAAACGGTATGTCTGGCAGATGCTGTGTATAAATCACCGTATTTTTGGCAATTTTTTTTTCTACAAGTAAAACAATGGAGAAATCCACAGACCAATCGCTGTTTATTAATGAGAAAAGATTTGTGAGCTCCCAGCTCACATTCAGAATCATATTATGATTTTGTATGCAATCTTTCCCACCCGGCGCCCATACGTATGGCGAAAACTCACAAGTCTCTGCGTATTCACTTTGTCGAGAACGGCGCTGCTGGTGGTAGACAGAAGGAAAGTGCAAGTATTATTCAGGCGTTCGCTGCCACGTACGTGAGGAACGAGTGGGCCTACACTCTAATGCTTTTGGCTACAATCTTCGATGGACTGGTTGAAGGTGCAATACCACATGACGAACGACGAGTGGAACTTCATGGAGAACTGGAATGACACAACGATTGGTGGAACACTGCTGACACAGCTAAATATGCGGAAGTCAATATTTGTGAAATTGATGCACAAATGATGTAGCAAAACGAATACTGCATTTCAGCGTTTTGCACAATTAAGTTCCGTGTTTGGTCACAGTTCTTTTATCCCAAAGGCAGCACACTACGTTTAGGTCTGTAGCGAGCTTATCATTCTCCAGCACACCTCCGCTAGCATGCCTTTCCCTCTGACCCGTCAGTCGGAATGTACCAGCAGTGCTTTGTCGCCACGCCACCAATGGTCGTGTCTGTCCATTTCTCCGTAAACTTCCAGTTGCTGTCGGCAGTGTGATACTGTAGTTTCAGCCAGTCTTTCGACGCCTGGAGTGACACGAAACCATACTCTCCAATCGTGTACGACCACACGTTCTTGACGAGGTCCGTCGCATAAGGCTGGATGGTACTCACTTTGCCAGACTGACGGCCACCACCGACACCATTCTCGATGAAGTGCACTCCAATAGACTTCGAATAGTCGTGCTTCTCAGCGTGAGTGTGGCCATGAAGGAATGCTCGAACACCCGAGTTCCTCAAAGTATCAAACCACTTTTTCATGCCAGGCTCGGCGTAGTGGTTGTACGGACTGTAGTGGCTGTTGACGATCTTCCACGTTGCATCAGATTTGGCTGCCAGTTTTGCCACTTGAGCGCGTGACTCGTTGCCCCATTCAGCAAATTTGGCCTTGCAAGTGTCGAACATGGCCTTGTCACCACCAAAGCAATATTTGCCTTCCCGAGTAATCGTGTTGCAGCCGGAACTGTCGTTTTTCGCGTATCCGTAGCATTGGCAACAAATGAGTTCGGCACTGTAGTCATTGTCGTTCGTGTCGACATTGAAGATGTCGATGCTCACACCCGTGGCAGGGTCATTTACCCGGTGGACGTAGAAACGACCGTTCATAGCCCAGCGATTGTCGTTGGGGCTCGTGTACTCAGACTGCCACTTGAGCTTGTTCTCAAGACCTTGAAACAACTCTGCAGTGTTGTTGCACGGAACAAGCTTGTCTCCACTACTGCAGATGTAATCAGAACCACCATAGTCGTGGTTGCCCATGACTGCCACCCACGGTACGTTCTTGATGTTTTCTCCATCGTACTTGGCCTCAAATGACGCAGCAAATCGGCTGTCACGTTCACCAAGGTAGTTGATGCCATTCCAGTAGAAGTTATCACCATGAGCAAGGACGGCTTTGGGCTTGATGGACGTTCCGGCTTCGATGTTCATCAAAGTCGCTACGACTTCTTGGGAGTTGAGGTCGTAGTTGTTAAGGTTACTTCCGCAACACGACCCCTTGTACAGCGTCGCCCCCCAATCGCCAATGCCGTAGACCGATAGTGAGTACTTAGCCGATGCCGGGTCTGACACAGAAGTCGAAGGCTGAGCGGTCGTAAGCCCTGCCTTCATTGTCGTGCCACTCGAGCCACCCATAATGGCTAGCAGCGCCACAGCGTTGGCCAGCATCTTGTAGTTCAGCATTTTTTTACAGTTCCTGGTATTCCGGGGGTTGCTCTCTCCAACGAAAAAAGAAGAATGAACTAAAAAAATGCGACCACAATAAAAGTAATCAGGGGTTTACGGTATCTTTTACCGTCACGGAATCGACACACTGGAAAGAGCGTCTAGCCATATGGCTGACATGAATCCCTCTCGTGTCATGACAATGTGTCTTTGAACATATTTGGAGTTTCTTTGCCGCAGTTTCTAGACTAGGCCTTGGCAACATCAAGGTGATCTGACTACGAACTTCAATCGCGCCGAGCCTATCTCAAAATAAAAAATAAGGGGGGGGCTGTATTTGAATACATGTGACTGAAAGAATTGTTAGCCGGAGCTCATTCTTTTATCTCACAAACACAACCTGTAGCTCGTGGATTACGGTGATGCATACATGTACCGTCATGGTCTTGGCAACAAAGCAAACTACAGAGGTCCCCCTAAATGAGCGTAGGGTTTAGATGGGGCATATTTAATATACGTTTAGAGGTAATATGGAAGATCCGCTCAGAGAAAGCCTTTTAAACACGCATTTTGAGCAGATATAACAGGGTATAGAAGATTCAGTGCTTCGCTTTGCACCAGACGATACTCTGCACGTGAAGTGTCTGTGAGCATAACAAGGTCTCTGTAACTAACAAATGCATACGTGCATAGTATTTTCTCGAAGTTCGTAGTATAAAATATATTGTTCTTGTGAAGTTTCTTTGAAGCTGGGTGCATGTAAGATAGGCGAACTGGTTCGCAGCCTGTACGATTTGTGCATGGCAAGCTACATGTACATGTACTGTACGGCTCGTAGAATTTCCGCTTTCTGTATATGCGGCACTTTACTTTATTTTAAGGTCAACTGTCCTATATGTAGCTGTGAAAAGGTTTGTCAGGTCGTTTTTTTTAAATTCAATCGGTCAGGACTTACAACTCTTGAGAAATAAACGAGCACTCAACCTTATTTTACATTTTATGCGTCCAGCTCGTCCATTTAATTCTATTAATAAAGTCTTGTCGAAAGAGAAAACTGTTTTCTGCGGCGTGTACATCAAAATCTGAGGTTTATGGATGCACTGTATTCATGTTTGCGGTGATGATGCCCAAAACTCCGTAGTCGGGATCCGGGTTCAGTAAGTTACTGTCAGTCACAAAGTGCGACGCCACGATACAGTATGGATTGTACTGTGGACCGGTATGTACAATATCAGGTACTTTATTCATCGCTCTTTAAGCTTAGACGAAAACAGTAAGCAATCACGCAAGCTTGGGTGGCGTTCTATTACGTATCGATTATCAACGATCATTGAATCACGACAAGACAGCGGAGCTGAGGTGGTACTGTAGCTGTAGCGGCAGACGTACAGTTCATGATGCGGTGTTTATTTTTAATGTTTACTGCTCATGATCCAAAACTGCCTTAACCTCGTGGTAGAGCTACGCTTTCCGTGCATTTTAATTTCTCCAGATAAAACTCGAGGTGTCTGGTAGGCAGCTGGAACCTCTTATTTGCTCAAATCTCGTGGGTTTACTGACCCAGACTGGACCCCAGGTTTTGACAGCAACACCGTATTTTTTTGCAGTTTTCATTTCTAGGATAAAAAGGTTTCGTAAATAATTATCCTTGATTATCTTCGGGATCTGTAAAACGGTAAGTCTTATCGTAATCGATTGCGATGTACTGTACCTCGAAGCAGTGTATCCACAGGTACTTCTACAACTCCATCAGCCATCTACATGTACGAATGATCGGAGTTATTAGCTCCACATTCTTCATTTCTCCTGGAAACGTACAACCGTCACGTTCCGTCGACGAAGTGATTTGATACGAGTATGCTGAATAACAGAGAAATATTCAACGCTGCTGTAGCTTTCTGCTTGGTGGGAGCTCCAGTTGCCTTGACGGTGACTGCTAAATTGACGGTGGATCTGTCACTGGATCCTTCATCGGCTCAGTATGCGTTGTCAGCCTTCGCTATTGGTGATTGGGGTGCAACGCTGTACAAGGGCTCATGTTGCAGAAGTGACTCCAACAACTACGATCTCCACTCCCAAAAGGTGGTGGCAACGTTGATGGACATCGAAGCCGGAGCGTCAATCAAGCCCAAGGCTGTCCTAGCCCATGGCGACAACTTGTACTGGAACGGAATCAACTATCTCAGCGAACGGGATGGACGTTTTGCTGCGTCGTTTGAAGACAAATACGACGGAAACAACATCAAGAATGTCCCCTGGGTGGCAGTTATGGGCAACCACGACTACGGTGGCTCTGACTTCATCTGTAGTAGCGGAAACAAGCTCGTTCCCTGCAACAGTACGGAGGAGCTGTTCCACGGCCTCGATAACAAACTCAAGTGGGAGGCAGAATACAAGAGTCCTAACGATAACCGTTGGCGTATGGCAAACGAACACTTCTATGTCTATCGCATTGAGGACCCAGCCTCAGGAGTGAGTATCGACATTTTCAATGTCGACACGAACGACGCCGATGTTCACGCTGCCGGTTTCGTATGCTGTCAGTGTCACGGCTACGCGAAAACCGACAATGCCGGCTGCAATACTATCAAGCGTGAGGATAAGTACTGCTTTGGTGGTAATACGGCCATGTTTGACACCTGTATGGCCAAGTTTGCTGAATGGGGTGCCGATTCCCGTGCTCGGTTGGCTCAGGAGGTAAAGCAGTCGACAGCAACTTGGAAGATTATAAACACTCACTTCAGCCCCTACGATCACTACTACGAGGCTGGAATGAACAAGTGGTTTGATGCTCTGAGAAACTCCGGCGCCCGGGTCTTCCTGCATGGCCACACTCACGGTGAAAAGCACGACTACGCGGAGTCTCTTGGTGTTCATTTCGTCGAAAATGGCGCTGGTGGTGGCAGACCGAAGGAATATGCGAGTACCATTCAAGACTATGCTGCCAAGTACGTGAAGAACGAGTGGGCGTACAATCCAATCGAGTACGGATTCTTTTTGTTGCAAGCGTCGAAAGACTGGCTGAAGCTGCAGTACCACACGACGGACGACAAGTGGAATTTCACGGAGAAATGGGAGGATATGACAATTGGTGGCGTGGCGACCAAGCATTGCTGGTACATTCCGGCTGATGGATCGGAGGGTAGAGCCTGCTAAGACGAGAAGAACTGGGGGGGGTCTGCTCTAGAATCATCCAAAAATCCTTTTACATTTGATTTAATCAACAACTTCTTCTCAGGTATTCTTACAAATATCCACAATCCAAAAAATCGGACAAATTCCACTAATCAACAGCGTACATGTAACATGATCAACTTGCTATAAAAGTTGTTTGACGGCCAGTATTAGCTAGGACAAAACATAGATTGAGTTTAAAACAACATGATGAAGACCACACGCTCGTGTCGCGCGAACATTGACCCGATATTAATCCTCGTTGGGCCTCCGGAATTCTACACAAATAGGAATACTGGGAGGACAGCTTTAGCTAGCTGGGCAGCCTAACCAATTTGATTACATTGACGGTGTGTGCGCGATTGTTACCTAAGTCGATGGTCCACAGACTGACCCTAGGGGTCCAAAATATTTAGCGTACGTTCTGTAATTAGTGTTGTGTGAATGCTGCTAGGAAGCCCAATGCGAGAAGTGCTCATTATTAAGGCACCCTTTCCTGCGCCCAACTCGGAAATATGTGACAAGCCTCCTGCACCCACCCACGACCATCTCGCGCCCAGCGGTACCCATCAGGTGCCTATATGGCACCCAAACGGGTGCCCAGCCACTTCAGCAAGTATACGTCCGAGGCGTATACCCGGATATAATGAAGTCGTACTTTTCGAAAAAAGGATGCTGGACAGCACTTTTAGTGTTTGCATTGTGTGGGGCAAGACTTTGGAAACTCTTGGGCTTACTGCACAATGCAACGTACCATATTAATGGTGGAGGAAGAACTGTATGATAACATGGATAGAAATGTACGTGAACTTATATATTAGGTGTAGAGACTAACACTCATTAGCCTTCCATGCACATACGAAGGTAGCGGTAGCGCAGACACTGCAGTGTCTTCTTGCCAATGTAGCCAAGAGGCTCGGCGCCGCAGAACATCTCGAAAGCGAGTAGAACGTAAATGCCGCAGTTGTAGCTATCCACTTGAACGCCCAATCCCGACTCGTACGTCTGTACTCGTTGGCTCGGGTTCACGCCGTTTGGTAGCAGAGATATCAGCACCTGAGCCACGGAGCGAACGCTCACTAAGTACGTAGACGAACTGGAATTGTTTATGGCTACCTTTACCTTTTCGAGGTTCATTATCACGGAGCACCAGTGATTACCATTGCAATTCACGGGGAAGAGCACCTTTTGATTCGATAGTCCCTCCATTTTCCTCCGAATACTCTCTTTGTCCGCCCCCATGTGCCCATCGACGACAGCACCTATGTGGTTTGGGCCTGGTATGGAACCTGAAGAGCTGGAGCTGCAGCAACTTGTCGTGTGAGTTGTTGAAGGTTGGGGTATCTGCCAAAAGTGTGTGAGCCGTCAAAAGGCTCAGCTGGCTTTCGTGCATAGCCAAATCATCCTGGACCATTGAGATAGTGAGGTTTCGCTTCGCCTTGACGGCTTTGGGTTTTTGTTTCGGTCGACCTTTTGCTTTTGGCGGGCTTTGAAGATCGAATTCATCATTTTCATCAGCCAAATTGATTGATCTCCCCCGATCTGCCGTGTGCGTGATAGTTGTATCCGATTGACCGACGTTGAAGTCCGGCTCGATGCTCGTGGCCAAGTCAGCGCTTTGTGAACCCAACTGGCCAGTATCAGAGCTCGACGCGACTGTTTGTGAGCACCTTGTACTTGGACGCATTAGTACCGTGCGTCGCGTCGATCATCGAAACTTCGGGAAAACAATCGAAGAGCCCATGCATATGTCTAGTCTGCAACGTAATACAAGTGGCAATTGTCTACAACATATTACAGCGTTAGTGCGTTATACTTAACGATGTATGAACGAATTCATACCTTATCTCCCACTGAATCCACAAATATTCCTCCAACATTTCCAGGCTCTTCCGAAAACTCGACCATCCACTTCTTCAGTCGGTTGGCGCTGGTGGAACCCGTGCTTTCCTGTTTCTTCAACCTCCGCACTAAGTTGGACACATCTTGAGTCGACGGATTGCGCTCCGAGTTGTCGTGGATAAATTTGAGTATACGCTTCTTTATCGCGCCGGCTTTCCGAAGCTCGTTCACCGTAGTCACCACATTTGACTCCAATTCAGTTCGTGCGTGCGGATATTGACTGTAGATGTGCTTGTTTACGGGGTGATTGTGCACTAAACGCGCCAAGGTGATCCTCAAAATGAAGGTCGGAACCTTAGCATCGTCAAATTGGACACACGCATTGATCTGCAATATGGGTACATGCAAGCACAACATTAGTAAGCTTCAACTCATCCCAACACAACCCGCAAATCCGCGTGCCCAGCTGGATGACCAACTCGGCCCAACTGGATGACCAACTCGGCCTAACTGGATGACCAACTCGGCCCAACGCGATGACCAACTCGTCTCAACTGAGCAGTAATCTTACCTGGGCTTCGCACTCCATAGCTCGCGACTGTAGACGCTTCCTCTTTCCCTTTCCTCGCGACTTGTACGTCCCCGAGTGCGTGCATATGTACGTCTTGCCGTAGTTCTCCCACTCATCCGGTAGCAACGGCTTCTTCGACCCCGACGAACGAATCTTGGCATTACGTGCTACCACCGTGTTCTTCGTGCGAATACGGAAGCTCTACGAAGAAGTCAACATAACAGTACGCTCGCGGTTAGCATAGGAATCATATGTAAATCAAAACAAAGCAAGATAGTACCTGGTACGTTCCCCTAGTGTAGTCGGCCAAACAACCTTCGAGGTCCTCCCATGACTGGAACTCAAGTCGTTCCAACGGGGGCACGAGAACTTCGAGCCCTTGGCCATCTTCAGGCTCGACTTGAACGCGCCGTAGATGGGCCATCCGTCCGGATCGCCCCTGCTTAGACTGGCTGCTCGCGTTGCTGCAAGTTTCAGAGGCGGAATCCACCCATTCCTCATCGCTGAGTACGCACGGCGACGAAGCATACGTGGTGGCATCATCGGCGGCCCCCAAGCACAGATTGCGGCGCTGCGTCGGCAGGGGCGGCCTCGGCACGGCCTTCACGCGCAGGTCGCGGCTCATTCCCCCCTCCGCTTTATTGCCGAATGAAGTGTGTGGTGGGAGAGACCGGTATACACCGATGTATACGATACATTCGGACGGATAGATCCAGAGGATAGGGTAAAATCTGTGAAAAAGTTGTGCCTCTTTTTTACCCGCGAGTTGGGCGCAGTACACACTCTCCATTATTAAAGACAAAGACACGCATCCGCAGCAGTGGTAATAGCTAGCGCAAGCTTTGAATGCTTCGTTTAATTATCACAGGGTCGTAATATCTCCAGCTGGTCTCTCGTCTACGCCACCTTATTTAGAATACTTTCAGCAAGCTGGCCCAATTGATATTTTTGTGCTTTCGCTTGGACACACTTGTCTTGGCTGAACATGCTGCAACAGCTCGCCTTTTCTCGACGTTTATGAAGCAATAGTCGTCTCTGTCTGTGACGGGGTCACACAGCACCTTGCGCTAGAGGAAGTTATCTTCCGAGAGTATACAAACTCTCAGTGAACGGCAGTTCACTGGTCCCCTCTTTAATCAAAGAGAGCGAAGTGACCTAAATAAGGTAGATTGTAAACTGAGTATATTTATAGGTAGGTTAAGTTTGAGGTTAATACAAACTATCAGTTACCTATAGTAATGCAATGTCATAAAACCAATGGTTGGTTTTGAATGACCTTGGTACCTTGTACCAAATATCCCGGAGTATGACATGTCATACTCCTGAAGTGTGAAGTGTCACACTTCATGTAACCAGGGTACACTTAGTGCTACGTACCCCGTTACATCCTCCCCCACTTAGGTTCGGTTTACCGACCAATCAGAATGAAGAGATGTTCGTCTTAAACTCTCATTCTCAAAGTCGAAAACCATCGACTCGGCCGCGCGAGCGCGGCGGAGGCTCACTTTACAGTTAGAGCCTCGAGCAGCAACCTGTGCGCTCTTCGTCAAGGTCTCCACTTCGACCGTTAACATGCCTCGTGGCACTGCTAAGAGCGGTGCTAAGACACGCTCCAAGGCTGCAGCCGGTAAGGCGCAGGCCAAGAGCACTAAGCCTCACGGCAAAGGCTCTGCACTTAAGGAGGCTACTCAGGTGGCCTCCGAGGCGATCGGATCCTCGGGTGACGCGGCTGCGGACAAGCGCGCAAGCAGGCGCCGCAGTCCGTCGCCCTCGTCTTCAGACAATCGTCCGAACCCTCGGTTCGTAGAACGTGAGTTCAACTCGGGCAGTGAGGACGATGCCGAGTCCGAGAGCACTCATGATGCTCCTGCGGGCTCTGTGGGAGGGCACAGCCCAGTGCCCAGTGAGCACAAAGAAGACAGCGTGCAGTCGTCCGCTAGTGATCACGGTGATCACAGTCCCAGGACCTCTGTGCGCTCTGAGAGTCCGGCCGTTAAGGCTAAGGGCACTCCCAAAGCCGGTGGCGATGAGGAAGGGAGTCCTCGCAAACGTCTCTCGCTTGCCGAGGGTCTTGCGCGCGCTAAGGCCTCTAAAGCCGAAGGCGCCAAGCCCTCAAAGAAGCGTACCGCCTCTAAGTCTCCACTCCGCGAGGAGAAGGAGACTCGACGCTCCTATCAGAGTCTCTTCGGCTCCTCGGATGAAGAGGAGGAGAAGGAGGAAGAAGAGGAAGAGGAGGGTGCCATTGTTGAGCCCCGGGAGGTCTCGAATGACCTCGACCAGCAGCAGGAGGATTTCCAAGCTGCCCAGCGTGTGCGTGGGGGTTCGGTGGCGGCACCCGTCAGCCAGGGAGCTGCCATCAACTCAAGAGGGTATTGGCCTCCCGAGGAGAGCTCTGGGGCTGACCTCTTCTTAGAGCTTCTCGTCGCTCCTCGTGGCCTTGTGGGCGGCCACACTTCTAGGGGCATCTATGAACGAGCCCTTGTTCAGAAAGAACAGTTGTTCGTCGACAACGTGGAGGCTGCTCGGTGTGTGCTTCTCGCGCCACACCGCATTCCCCTTAAGGACTTCA